GTTGACACTTTCAATGAGAAGGAGATAAGAATAAGCATGATAGTGAAACACAACATGATTCCAAGAGTTAAATATTTACCCCCTACATTGGTTAGATAGCAATTCCTTTTGATTATTTTAAAAACCTTCTTACTAGTATTTGAATAATCTTTTAAATTATTTTAATATTAGTATTGATTGTGCCGTCCTGGAGTATTCCGCCGACCCCGGTTAGAGAAAATAAAAATTTAGTTAAACGTCTTAGCATTGTACCGAAAGATCCAGCACACAAAACCAGAATAAGTGCAGAGGGTGTAGCATTCATAAGAGACACCAAAGTTTTTACATGGAAAACCCCTAAAAAGGAAGAAAAACCACGGGCCTGGCCAGTTGAATGATCACTAGTATTTGCTCAGTCGATTACCAAATGAGCCCTTCCTTGGATAAGGCCTTGGGATTGCATTGTAGCAACATGTACATCAATATAAGATTGTATTTACATGGTAGGAGTTTACATATACATGTTTGTTGTCCTGAAGGACCGTAGTGGGCAGAGACCATAGTCGGCAAGAAAACCGGGGTCAGAAAGACTGTTGTTGTTGATGGAGGTCAGAAGGACCATCTATAGGCGACGAAGGCCTGCAAGGACGTAGTCGATTAGAAAACTGCGGGTCTGAAAGGACCGTTGTCTAGTTATGTTGTCGGGACGGACCGTAGTAGCGCCGACAGAGGTCAGAAGGGACCGGTTAGGCGGTAGGAGACAAGATTCAGGCGTAATAGAAGCAGTGATCAACTGTGAAATCGATCTGAACTGTGTGAGATTGTGCATATTCTATTGTTGGAGAAAGTAGAGTATAACCAATCTCGATAGAAAAATTAATGAATAATTTCTGACGTCTATCAGGTCACACATATCTAAGTAGCAGGACGTGATCTGCCTCCCAAGAATCACTAGTCAATTACTAACCAGAGAGCGATAGAGGAAGAAATACCAACCTAACCTCATCCATAATGAGATACGTCCTACACAATCGCATATACGGAGCCTCGTACGGTTGAGTTGTCAATCCAAATCTATGATACCGTCATGAAAAGTGTAGGCAAGAATCCATTAGAAAAATATAAATCTGCGTGATACCACTGCAAAAGTCCTGAACAAACTTATAACCGGCAAGTGAAAATGTCTAAATTAGTTAAACTGCAAACGAGAAGTCGACCGGCCTCCTTTGTGTGGATGATGATCACAGACAACAAACAAAGGCAATTCCCGAAGTTCCTTTGCGGTGGCCGCGTAGGCTTATTCCGTGCACGGTGTGCAAGCAAAAATAGTGTGAAGACATATATATAGCTAAGGTCCGTCCACTAAGTTCCCACGGGAAATCTTATACATGACAAAGATACATCAAGGTAGCGTACCTCCCCTGTCTTGACATCACCAAAGCAAAGTCGGAAGGAGGGAGGACTACTATAAACTCTTCTACTAATCAAACTTATATACGTCACTTAACTCCCTGCAACCGGATAGACCTCTCCATAACATTATATGAGACAAATGCGATAAAACAAAAAAAAAACATTTTTTGTTAATTCATGGCCATGAACGGAGTGAGCTATAGCTTCTATCCTAATTAGTGCAGATATTATTCTTTATGAAAAATGAGTGTCTAGTGTGAATCGACGTTAACAATAGGTATCATAGAACCGACAGAACTACAATGGTAAAGAGAACGGGTCGATCATAATATGGTAAACCCAAGGCTTGTATCTGTGTCTGATTTTAATGGTGGCAAAAACATCTTTTGAAATCAACGAGATACCCTAAATGCATACCTAGACAGAAAATAATTTGCGGATTAAGAAAAAGAGAACTGTATGCACAAGACCTGTTCTACATGGATACCATAATTATGCGTGAATTGCCTTAGTATGTATAGTACTGAGATGTGGTATCACAAGTATGTGTAATCTCTTTCGCGCGACAAATTTGAAATCCAAGTCTTTGGCAAGTAGAGATTTCCGCCTAATTGATACACTTACAGTCTTCCTTAGAGTCCTTTCAGAGTTAGGTAGGGAAATCGAAAGAATAGGTCCTTGCTTATAGGAATCGTCTGCGATTTCAAGCAACATTCTGTGCAGTTGGGGAAAACTGAACATTGACTGCACATCTTGAATTTGAGTAAACTACTAAGCTGTTACATATAATTTTTCTGTAAAATTGATATTCGCGTGTCTTGCCCGCATCCTTTTATGGTCCATCATTTGAGCCCAACCACTATGAGCTCTCCTATTTGATTTTGAGTATTTCTTCAGGTCATTAGCCCTGGAGACTTCTCTGTCCCATAGAGAATATGCCTACACTTTTATATTATTCTTAGTGTGAAGATACTTCCAGATATAAGAGGAAAAACTCACTTCTCTTAATATGAGGTGTCGTTCGCCGCGTATAGAACCGAATTCATCTTTCGAGAAACAGAATAAACAAACGAACTGTGTCAGAGTCCTTGACTATGACAGACTCGCTGAATAACAATCGGAAATATCTGCAGCGAAGAATTAATTTTTAAATTCTTCTTATCTCTCTAAGCCTGAAAATCTATAGAATTTTAAGAATTACGGCAGCCACAACTGATCACTATAATATGGCTCATCCATTCGTAGTAATGCCAAAATCAGTTCTATGATCAATTTGAGATAGACTTGTTATATGATTAGTTATAGAAGATCTTACTCCCACAACGTATAATTAGGTTAGCGGACAAACGCACGACACCAATCCCAACAGGTTGATTATCCGTTTATCGGTAGATTCAGAGAAAGCATCGTAATAAGAATCACAAAGAAACCAATTGATACCATTATAAGTTTCACACAAAAGCCTAAGGTGGTCCTAAAGATATCCGAAGTTCCCAACCACAGAAATATGAATTGTTCTTTTCACAAGAGAGAGATAAAACAACCAATAGCCTAGCGCATATTTGCGAAAAAGAAAGATTATATTGAAAGCCAAACAAAACCCTAAAGCATCAACAGTCAAGCGCGAATCAATGCCGACATCCCGAACCCTAGAAAAAAGACTATATTACCCCAAAAGAATCCAATATGTGTAAAGAAGTATACCTGAAATTCTATGTCCCGAAAAAACGTTTGTAATCCGGCCAACCATCCACACTATAAGGTCACCGTTATCATTAGAGACCTTAAACAGAAGGTCTGTAGCAGTGTGTTTCTGAGCGAAATGTATGAGTCAAAGATCCTGGTTGATTCTCACTGAACACCTACCATTGGATTAACTAATTCCTCCGCCGTTAGTGAGCAGCCGAACGTCCCCTATAATAAAGTGATGGCCTGGAACGGCCTATGGCATGTGCCCTTGGTCCTTTGAATGTTGGATAGATTATTTAGAAATGTAGATGGCAGCTTAGTGCCTATCCTCCACAAAGATGAGACACGGATCGTAGCTATTAACCACCTCCGTGAAATCCTGTGTAGCGTCGCTGATACAAAGACTGACCGATGACTGCCAAGCGTTATCCAAATGGTCGACCAGCGCTCCAACCAGCGACGGAAAGACAAACGGTCCACCGCATGAGGACAACAAGAACATAACGACTGGCCCGCGCGCTGCAAAAAACGAGAATGCGCAGTAACCTCAACCAGACCCACTCGCGGGCCCTTGCACAGCCGAGCCACCTGAACCCGCGCGGTCTGGTTCCGCCTGATGCGGTTCCGCAGCATAGCTTTACCGCCAGCGGTTCGCCTAACCCGCGCTTGCCTGCTCCAACGGGGCCGCGCCTGACCCGCGAGGTGGCCCCGCACCGCATTGGAGCTGCCGCTCCATTTAAGCGGCCTGGTTTCTTACGGTGAGGCGGTTCAGCCCACCGCCTCAAGTGGGCCCCACCTCAATGAAAAAAATATCTTTTTATGTTTTTTTTGTCCCGAAGAAAATTCTTAAAAAAATTCCAAAAAATTCACAAAAAATATGAAAAATTCCCGCGCGAAGAAATTTTTAGAAAATATTATAGAATTCCAAAAATTCTAGGAAAACTCTCTCTCTCTACCCCTAAAAAAACTATAAATAAGGTCCTTAAAAGCCCTTATTAGCAAAATCACTCCTCCCCTCTTTCCTTTCCTTCTGTTTTTTCTTCTCTTCTCCCTCTTGTCCTTTCTATTGAGGCCTTCCCTCTAAAATATATTATAGCCTGATGAATACATATACAAATCATCTTAAAATTTTTATGAACAAATCAGGGCCACATGTCCACCACACGAACAATTATTACGTCCTCTGACCGGACATGGAGTTACGTTCGGCCGCCAATAACATGTCGCCACGTGCTCTTACTCTTTACCGCGCGGCCCGACGACTTGACCCGGACCGGAACCAGGGAATGCTATGTTCACATATTGCGAGGTATTACTCGGTATTTGCTCGGTATTGCTAGGTATTGGTCGGCAATAACGAGAAATACCGCTTTGTGAAGACCAATACCGAGCAATACCGAGCTAGAAAAACTCGGTACAACTCGGTATTGCTCGGTATTGGTCGGTATTTGCTCGGTATTGCTTGGCAATAACGAGAAATATCGCTCTGTGAAGACCAATACCGAGCAATACCGACTCGGTACAACTCGGTATTCCTCGGTATTGCTCGGTATTTGCTTGATATTGATTATTGCCGAGCAAAATCGACCAATACATAGCAATACCGAGCAATACCCAGCAAAACCGAGAAATACTGAGCCATCCTGGGTCGGTTCCGGGTCGGGTTGTCGGGATGCAAGGTAAATAATGAAAACACGTGGCGCGATTCTACTGGCTGCCGAACGTAGAGTTACGTCCTGTGACCGGACCAAATAAAAGTTCCCATCACACGGCGTTCTAATGCCAACAAAAAAAAAAAATTATAGAAAAAAAAAAAAAAAATAAAAAAAAAAAAAAAAAAAACTGTATGTCACACGTTCTCAATTACTAGCAGTTAAAGAAAAAAACCTCCGCCTCACCGGTTTCGGTTCTGATTCGGTTGGTCATTTCCACAACTGCAGTTACCCCTTTAACTTCCATTTCCGCGCACTCTCGTCATCGTGGCGCCGCAGTCTTATCCAGTACCCATCTTCTCCATAAAAGCTCTCTGATCCTCTTTCCCCCCACCACAATCCCTTTCAATTCCCTCACACGAACCCTAGCGATCGTCGGAGATGGGAGGAGGTTCCTCCAAATGTCCCGGAGGTTTCAGCGGCGATTTCGACAGCGATAGTGGCAGCCAGCTCTATGTCTCCCTCAAGATAGAGAATTTGAAAATTAGAGATGACCTAATCCCCCATGTATTCGGCTCCATTCCCATCGTCGGCTCCTGGGATTCCTCACGATCGGTGCGACTCCTTTACATTTTTTCCCTAATACCATTTCGCTAACTCTGATTAGGGCAACTCCAATGGAACGGCAAACACTTGCCGTTCTTGCTTTGCTCCAACGGACCGTCATTTTTTACTCCATCCGATGAACAGTGCGACGTCAATATTGGCATTGCACTGTTCATCCATTTTTTTTTTTAATTTGGAAGAAAGGCGGGAAAGAACAGGACTGTTACGGGAAAAATAGCGTTTGATTGGAGATGAATGAAGGCATTTTTTGGTTTCACTGTATTTTGGAGTGAAAAATGAGATTTTTGATTGGAGATGTCCTAAACTATTTCCTTTTTTAGCTGTCCATGGAGCGGGAATCCGCGTTGACGTGGGAGTTGAGCTTCGTTGTGCCGCCGAACCATGGTACTTGAATTTATTTTGTTCGTGTAGTGGAGAAGTTTGGTAGGTTCCGTTTTTAATGAAATCGGTTTGTGTTGAAGGAACACTGGTTTTCAAGTTCTTGTTGAAATCCAAGGAGATGGAGAGTATGTACGTAGTGGAGGAAGGGGAAGATAGGTTGCTCACTGGTGGGAAGTTGGAGGGTGGAGCTAGAGCGGCGGTGTTCAGGCTTCCTGGATGTTGTGATGAGGAGCTGCTAGAGTATAAGGTGTTTGTGATTGCTGACATTGTTTCGCCGTTTGATCTGGCGGCGAGCTGGAGGGCTTACAAGGAGAATCTCAGGCCTTCTACTGTCCGGGGGGTTCCTGACATCTGCATCAATGCGGCTCCCGAAGGAGGATCAGAGGTAAGATCTGAACGTGTAAATCGCAAACTTGTTCATTTATTTTTATCCGTTACACTCTTTTTTGTAATCTTTTGTTTTGCAAGACATAGCGTTGGGGGCTTGAGCTGTTTTCCTAAAAATTTTAATCATTTTGATGAATTTGATAAAATTTTCCTTACCTTCTGTAAATTGCGTACTCTTGTTCAAATATTTACATTGTATATATTTGCAAACCTCACGAAGGACTAATGTGATTAGAGAGTACTTTGCTATCTAAATCTGCCTTTTTTTCATTGTTTTCTTTTTAGTTTTTATTTATTTATTTTTTCTAATTAGAAAAATTTCTAGTGCTAGGATTCATTTTATGTATTTTTCTTTTTTTCCACATAAGAATACTTTATGGCGTAGAATTCCTCCAAATATGATAATATGATGATGGAAAGGGAAGGATCACCAAAGATGCCATTTAGGATTTTTTGAGAGAATTTGGACCATTATTTCCCTTAATTTTTATTTGATTTTATAGTATTCTGTGCCAGAAGAAATTTCTTTTTACTGTCCAAAGAATAGATTTATGATCGTCTTAGTTTCATAATTTCAAACATTGATGTAATACAAGAGACTAATATTTTACGTGAAAAATTCCATTAAGGGATAAACTTTGCATCTAGTAATGCAAATCCATGAATCTTGTAAATGAGTACATAATTAGTTCATCTTTTGAGCAATAAGAGTGATATCCATACAATTTCGCCACCAAGGTTGGAAAGATTGATGATAACAATGTTTGGGGCAAAGTGGTGGTTCATTACTCAACCCGCATATGTGCATGCCTAATCCTACCCAGATAAGGATTCCACTATACCACACTTGAAACTACAAGCGTAAATTCTCCACTTTCATGAGTAAATGAAGAAAGCCTCAGAAAATCTTAGTTTATGATTGAGTTATAAATTTGAAATCAAGCCAACTTGTTTTCAGCACTTTGGAAGCAACTCAATTACTAACCCCCACAAATATTACAAACAATTCTACAAAACAAAATATTAAGATTACAATGTAAAAAATAAATTCCAAACACCTTGAGATTGAAAAGAGAGAAGTTGCCAACATGTAATAACTCAATAATACTTTGCTTTAATGAACATTTTTGGATTTCTCTTAATTTTTCCTCACAAATGGTTTACTATGAAAATTTTTTTCCTTTGACTTTGACTTTTTTGTTGGCTTAAAAACTTCTCAAAATATCTCCAATAGTTAAGTGGTTCTCTTAAAATAGCCTTGACAAAATGTCACAATCTGACTCGGAGGCTCGAATTAACGAGGTGGGAGCAGATAGTGAAACGATTATTTAAATTTTCATTTACTGACTAATTATTTCAATACATTGAAAGAGACATGAATACCTCAAATACATTAAAAGAATATTATAACTATTTCGATAAATGCCTTTTTTTTTTCCAGAGTATCATGCCTACAATACATGTCCTTTCATCTTCCACTTATTTAAATTCTTTTGATAATACCTGTGAACATTTATAAATATAGGAGTGAGTTATAACATAACTTAGTGAGTACGCTATACTTCTAAATTATAGTAATAAAAAATATTTTGAATAACATGCATGCTCGTTACAAAATATAAATTAATTCTAAATAAAATTTATTTTGAGAATATCATGAGTGCTATGCATATCTATATATTGTACATATGTATCATATCATTATCCTTTATGTAAATAATACAACTATCATATGAGACATGATCTAGAAGTACCAATGAAGATTTTTTCATTCCATTCTATTTTTCATAACCTTTTTCAAAATATATTTTATTTCACACAAATGTGTATATTGTCTCCCCAGCAGTATCATAAGGGGTGTACTCTATCCATCAACATGCATATGCAATAATATCTATCTAGTCATTTAAATGATATAGCATTCATTAACTTTATATAATAATGTGAAACACAATATTCTAATTATCATATATTTCAAGATGAATAATCATTGAATATGAGAAAGATAAATTATGATTTAACTTGCAATTAAATACGTATGTGCCGCTATTATTCTATGCATCTAATGTAAAAGAAAAATAAAATCATTATTATAATTTAAAAATACTAGTAATCACCTCCAAATAGGATGCCTTGACAATTCTCTTTAATCACCTCTCTGTCTCGTAAGCTTGATACCTATATAATTACATTCTTCTTATTGTCATACTTTATGATTTATCTCTAACTCAAAAATATTCTCCAATTCTAGTATTTAAATTTTCCTCCCATTAATTCAATTTATTACTTAATATATTATAAATCTAATAACTAAAATCTTAAATACTATTTTTTATATAATATAAGTTACACTCTCTCTCCCCCCATTAATTAATTATTGAATATTGCTAAATAGATCTTGTATTTAATTTATTTCTAAAAGAAGTTATTATCAATTAAATTAAGCTAATTATAACATTTGTTTTCCTTACTCTATAAATTCAGTTCTAATCATTTAAAAATAGATGAAGAATTATGATTTAATTATTCTAAAATACTTTTCTTCATCAAGATATTTTAAATTTTCTTTTTACAAAATAAAATTATTTTTTTCATTCTTATAAATGTTATCTACTCCTATAAATCTACAACAACAACAACAACATCAAGCCTTTATCCCACTACGTGGGGTCAGCTACATGAATCCTTTTTCTCCATTGTGTTAGGGAAATACTTGGTCAAACCACCTTGTGTTTGAACACAAGTAATAGCTCATGCATACATATCTCTACTCCTATAAATCTAATTCTTAAAATTAATTTACTGATTATATAAATAAGATCTTATAAATATATTGAATTAATATAATGAAATGTACTCTTATATATATTCACCATTATTTATTTTTAATTAGAAATGAATATAATCTTGCAATCTAACTATCATTTATCTAACATTTTTAAATAAAAGATAAAATTTAATTGTTTCTAGATTAATTTATTAAATTAAAAAATATAAATTCTAAATACATTAACCTTTTCTTTGAGATGAGAATTAAGCTTTTATTTTAATATCAATTTCAGTTCCAATATAATTGTTATTCAAGTTATATTATTATCATTCAAAAATTCAAATCACAAAATTTAAATTTACTATATAGAATTATTTTCAAGGAGAGATTCACCGTAGATGATTTGGTCACATAAAACGATGGCCTTCCGATGACCGGTTAAGAAAGTAGAAGTATCAAATTTGACTTTTATTAAGAAAGGTAGAGGTAGACCTAAAAAGACTTGGTCAGAAAATATTAGAAACGATTTTTCTTTATTAGATTTAAATGAGAATTTGACTTTTAACAGGATACAATGGAGAAAAAAGATTCATGTAGCCGACCCCACGTAGTGGGACAAATACTTGATGTTTGTTGTTGTTGTTAATTCCATACCTAGGTTTTCTTTTTCCTCTCTCCCCCTATAGCCACAAGCCATGATCACTCAAGTTCCTGCAGTGTCCCTATTCTTGATTTCTCTCCCGCTTGCTTGCTTGCACACTCGTCTCCCACTCCTTTTTGTTCTTCTTGTCTCCTCATCTCTTGACAATTTAAAGGATGTTGTCTTTCATCTTCCTCCCGACTCTAGAAGACGAAACTTACACAAGGGTTCTCAACTCCTTGTTCAATCTCCCCTGATACTAAACGATTAAAATGACTTATTCATCTCCTCGACACTAAGCAACAATCGATCCTTCATCTCTTTATATGAGAATGTATCAACATAGTCATTTCAAATGCAGTTAAACCAACTGTAGTTGAGATGGGGTTAGTCTTTGCCTTCCCTCGATGCCAAGTGACAAAAAAATTCCTTTGGCCCCTTTACCTTCTTCATCTTCACGCTACTTCAAGTAACAAAATGGACATACGATGGTTCTTTTATTACACAAAAGGCATTAAAAAATGCTCAAAATTCTTCCAACAAGCAACTGTCAGCCTTAACGTTTAGATAAATAGCTGTTACATGCAATTTGTTTGTTATTAGGCCAAATTTTGCATGTTGGGACTTTTGTAGGTCCACAAGCCAATCTAGTTCCAATGCTTTTGAGTAGGTGCATGAAAGGGAAAGACAGGAGTAGCAAGGTGAAGTTTCAATTTTATTATAACTTAATTAATACAAACTCAAATTATAACGTAGTACATATAATTTTATATCGGAAATTCCAAGCTAATTTAATCCCAAAGCATCATTTTGTCCCAATTTAGCCCCTTGACCATATCAAATTGATCCGAAATAGTCCCTCATATTATAATTGCGATATAAAAATGACCACAATTTAATCCCTCGACTTTACAAAATTTATCCCAATTTAGTCCTAAAGGGATCATTTTGGATCAATTTTGTATAACGTTTACTCTTGGACTAAAATGACTATATATGAATAGCCGGGGACTGTTTTAAAATTTAAACATAATTTTATATTTAAAGAGTTCAATGGAAACTCCATGGAATCAAAATCATTAAACTCAAATTCATTAATTATATTCTTATTAGATAATTAATCATAACAAATACTTAATTGACTACAATTAACATATTTTGAAAAATTTAAATAAATTTAGGAATTATATTGAAGCAAAGTAAACTTGCCAACAATGTAATTAAGCATATTAGCAAATTTAATGAATACATCAAGTGTTCATGATAATGATGATGAACAAGTTAAGCATATGATTGTTAAATACTTAAATGAAAAAATATTTAAAATAGTTTTTGTTTATTAATAAATAAGGATTGAGTAGAAATCATTGAAATGATCTTGAATGCATGGGTTGCGCCTTTTCATCCTTAATAACCTAACAATCCTTGAAAAAAACTTTTTATCCAACAATTTTTGAACAGCAGCTTTTCATCTATACAATCCAACAATATGTGGAGAGCAACATTCCAATTTAGAGAGATCTTATGAGGAAGAAGAATAGTACCTAATGTCCTCATCTTATTTTTTATTTTTACCGTGTTGCAGGATTAAAGCTTGATTTTAAGATTTATTTTTTATTAGATAGTTTGTTCTCTACTTATTTATGTATAATTCCTTTCTTTCTTTTTTAATACATAGTCAGTGAATATAATTCAATCATATAAACTCCCATTTTCTATTTTCCTATCTTCTTATTTTACTTTTCTAGAACGATACTAGAGCTATTAAGGTTCTACTCCTCGTGAGGCTGAAAATCCTTCAACATCTAGTATCCTCGCTATGTCGACAGCTATATGTTCATTGCTGTCAAGAGAGGACTATCTTAGCATTCTTTATGTTGGGTACTTGGCCATTTCATTAAGTCAGAAAACCTTCTAAGTATGGTTTTGGTTCCTAAAATGCCAGAATTGGTGAACTCATCCTGTGAAGTTTGACTTGAATAAAGTTAATAAGTAGAATATACATCACTAACAACAAGTAGAGCAACTTTCTGGGCTTAGCTCCATATAGCTGGCATGATCTTTTAAGAATGCTATTAATCCTTGCTATATTACTCTATAGCACTTACTTGTTTCACCTTATCATCTACGTAATTCTTATGCCTGTTGTTGCAATTACCAGAATGTTTCAGCAGCCAGTCTGGAGCTTGACTTAGAACGCTATGTTGTTCCTTCACCAACCTGTTCAACTACTGATGTTTATGCAGCTAATTTGACTGAGGCTCCAAGATCACTGGCTCATAATAGTGTATTCACCAAATGCGATGCCTCCGGTGGTTCTCCTAAGTCAAGCGAAGTGGAATTCCATACGGCTAATCATATTGCTTCTGAGAAAGTTTTTACTGGTAACCTTCCTCACTGTTAATAGAGTTCATATTATTATAAGGTTTACACTGATTTTCTGAAAGTCAACCAAGTTTTGAGTACATTAAAATTTCTTGAAATTAATGAGTGCCGGTATCTCTGTGAACACTGATATTTTCTTAGCTGGATATTATTTTTTATTATATTTCTCACAAAGGATTTCATTGCTCGTTGGCATTAACATTGACTTTTGTTTTATTTTGATTTGAGCAACTATTCTATTAAATTGGTGGTGCGCCTTTGATTGTTGATGATGGAGATATTTTGTACAAACTGTACAATTAATGATTTATGGGCTTCTAGATCTTAAGCCCTTTTAAGATGCATGCGTAACGAGTGACTGAAAATTTGATTGTTTGCAAGAGTTAATGGAGACAAATATATCAGATATTTCTAAATCAATTTAAGCTTTAGAAACTCTAATTTTTGTTGTTGGGCAATTGGGATTGAAATTAATTTATTAATCATGTTTGCATTTGAAAAACTAGATTGATACCACTTAAAACCATTATATGTTTTTGCATTTCGTTTTGTCTTCTTAACTTCTCGTCCTTTCTCTTGGTTGACGTAATGCTTGCTGCATTATGAGATAGTTAGGGTGGCATTTATTCTGATATGTCTTTATCTTCCAGCGAGACTAATTCACTCAATCAATCATCTCAGCAACTAAAGGCTGCAGTGATTCTTTCTAAGCAATGGATTTCCTGAAAGTAATTTAAACTTGGTTCTTACAAAACCTGTCCAACTTGCAACATGTACCTATTAATCTTATTTGCTGAGAAATCCATCTTTTATAATAGAAGCATTTCGTTTTTTTGTTGTGATCATCTGTGACAATCATAAGATCATTGAAATGGTGACATCTTTGTAAATTATTAATAGGCTTATAATGTTTAAGTCGTCTCATTGATTATCTAAACTTTGATATTTAATGTATAGTCCACTGATGTCCAAATAACAATCAGTTAGGATATTTAATGTATAGTCCACTGATGTCCAAATAACTACAGTCCTAGTAGAAATTTGTTGTTAAGATATTTTTAACCCTTCCTCATAATTGAATGCTCCCATTTTGATTTCTTGAGGGCTATCGTGATTGGAAATTTTTATGGGAAAAATCATCTGAATGTATTTTCTTTACCTATGTTTGGAAATATTTAGCCTATTCACAGCAACCGTCACTATTTTCATTTTAAGCATAATTTAGATAAATTTTAGATTTTATGCAATTTGAAGTAAATTTCCTTCTTATTGTTTTAATATATTTAAATGAGAATTTGACTCTAAACAAAACAATAGAGATAAAAGATTCATGTAGCCGACATCACGTACTAGGATAAAGGCTTAATGTTATTGTTGTTGTTGTTGTAATGTTTAAGAAACCCTACAATGAATTTCTCTTAAATAATTTATATTGTGGATAGAGAAAAGAACATCTAATATTATGTTTAGGTTTACCTTTTTTCAAATCCAAAAGGAAGAAGAGATAGAAATTGATGCCAATACTTGCTCACCTTTGCTCCTTCGATTCATCACAAGATCATGCTCCGCATTATCACGTATACTAGTCTTGCATTCTTGCCTCTTTGCTTGCTTGGCGTCCCCTCTCTCACTCGGTTGTTCACCCTCTGCCCCTCTCTACCTTACTCTTGCTCAAACTCTCTTCCTCTTTTTCTCACTCTCAAAATCCCTCTCTTCATTTCACACACACTCTCTTTCTCACTTCACCTTGCTATTTTTGCATGTTCTGCTCGCAGTCTCTCAGTCTTCCTTCGGCTTTCTTAGAGATATGCGACCTCAGTAGGTTAGTTTAAATGGGCTGATCATTCAAATACCTCAAATTTGTTTTTCATATAATGAAATAGATCTCTTAAATAAATTTTATCTCTTAAAGAAAATTATAATATTTATATAAATAAAATAAATCTATCTTGAGCAATTATTCCATTTAACTAAATTCAATCTTGAAAGTTTGATTAAATATTGAATTAAATCAATTTTAATTAGCTGAAATTTTAAATTTAATATTTCTAATTAAGAATATATATTAAATCTTAAATTTAATCAATAATTTTAATTTGCTAAAATTTAATTGTTATATTTCTAATTAACAATACCTACATTTTAGGTCTTTACAAAGCATCTTTGACAATGGTCGTCAAAGGCTTGTGCCACACTTGAAGGATTTACATCCAACTTTCGCTCAAATGTTTAATTTAGAAATATGAACTTTATTTAGTAAATCATCAAATAATACATGCCTCAAAGGCTCTATTTATAACCCAAATGAGTTACAATTAAAAGTTCTTAGGGTCTTCCATGGTCTGGTCAAAATTGCAAGTTTCATTTCATCTTTCTTGAATTCAGCTAAAAAATAAATTGTTAATTCAACCTAAGCAAAAATAACACACTTTCCCTACATTAAAAAAACCACATAGAAGGCACCTCTCAGCATCTGAACATCTAAAACATCTCGAAGAGAGGATCCCAGATTGACCACAATGGAGGATTCACAGACATTGGCAATTACTGACTTCAATTACAATAGGGCAATTGTTGATATGGACCTGATAATGGCTTATTAGGAAGGAACCAAACAATGAAACAGTGCTTTTGCCTGAACTTTCAGGCAACAGCAATGTCGAACTATTTCACTTCAGGAGCTCTTCTGGATAATCTATGTTAATGCTTCCTTTCTTTTTATATATTTTTTAATATCTTGACAATAATAAGGAAAAAAAAAACATTTTCATACTCAACAATTCTCCTGTTTATTTGCAGACCATTGTGATTGCTTAATTTTTTCATTTTTTTTTTCACTCTGGCTTTTGATTTCTTACTGCAGACATAGGGAATTTGCTGAATCCTTCAAAAGTTTCTCTAAATTCTGTTATGGCTAATAAAGGGTCAGATGGTATGTTTTCTCCTTTGGTAAAGCAAGGCGGTCAAAGGGCACACTCTGTAGATTGTGGTTTTGGCTCTCCTAGGTTTATTAAATCAGCCACTGCAAATGGCTTCTTAAGTGATCTAAAGTATTCGGAAGCGAAGGTTTGTACAGGTCTTGGAAGCATTTCAATATTATTGCATTAATTTCTATCTGGAGTACTGTCCCATTGATTCCCATCCAATGTTTTAAGTCAGGTTCTGATGTTTTCTTCTAAGATAATATCCCTGATTTGATGGAGTTCGTCTTTGCTTTTGGAAAACCTAAAAGTGAAACATGCCAAGTCTGAACATTTTCCTATTTGCTTATAGTCATTTATTGATTTTTTAAGTTTGTTTGAAATGTATCCTAATAATTGTTCTCTGGTAAGCCATATCAACCATTTTTTAATTTGATTTTTGTTGAGTTGAACAGAATCATGGACTTGGCATGTGATATGCTTGACATCATTTTACTGTTGTCACCCCATTCTGCAATTAAGATTTCCGTTCTTTGTAAATTTAAATCCTTGTTAATTGTGCCATCTTTTATGTTTAATGTTTAAAGGCAATGCCAGCAGCAGCAGGAGCGGTTGCTGCAGCAGCTGTTGCTGATCAGATGCAGGGGCCAAAAGAAGATCAATGTCTGGCAATTGTTCTGGTAGTATGATGCATACAATTTTCTCCTTTTCGGTGAATCTCCTTGTTCCTCTATTATTTTACAAGAGTTAGCATGAAAAATTTAAGTTATTTGAAAATTGGGTGCTCTGTTAGATTCTCTTACAGTTTAAAGTTTTTATTTTTATTTTTTTTAACGTTTGCTAATTCTAATATCCAAAAATGCAAATCCAGTCATTATCAACATACACATTATCATTACCGTCTCCCATTATTTTGATTTTTTTTTATGAAACAGTTTATAACGAGGGAGGATTGTAACTTTTAAAGCAAAATGTTTATTTCAGATTACATATTAGTTATCATTTATATTTCATTCTCCATTAGCTATTTTTGATGGCTATGTTAAAGTAAATGCACATCCTTAAGGTGAACTTTCAAGACTCGTTTCTAAGTTTCGCACATTTACTTTTACAGAAATGTTTTCATGATCACTTATGGAATGTAAAAAGTTTATTGACCAAATTAGAAGAGCAAGCATGAGTTGTACAATAGAAAATGATAAATTTGAATATCCGAGGATTTGCAGCTTTTGCATTGTTAAATACTTTACAGATATTTTTGTAATCTCAAGTACTGTGCTTGATTTCAAAGCTCATATTATCCATGCTATATTGTAAAAAATAAGGGTTTCGCTAGTTTTATTGAGAACTTGGACCTTGATGTTACTGAAACTGGTCAATCTAATTGTTTTCTAACATAATCTTAATTTTAGAGAAAAAAATAAGAAAAACTTTTTTGTGCGATATAGGGAAAATCCAAGGCATTGGTGAGATTAAGGGGCTGTTTGGTTGCCCGAATTAGGAGTGTAAAGTAAAACAATTACATGCATTTATTAAATTTGGTTGTTTGGATAATTTTGAGCGGAGCAAAAGAAAATCATCGGATGCATTATTCGTGTATTAGAGGATCTATTTTGCGTGAATTAGAAACCCGCTCGATACGAGCGGGTTATAAATTCATCGGAAAAAAAAAGCTTCGATCTCGTCGTGCTGTTCGGCTTCATTGCACGATAGTCTTCTTCGCTCCGGCGAGCAGCTCCACTCCGTCGCCCTCAAGTCCGGCCTTCTCCGCTCCAACCTCTTTGTCAGCAACGCCCTCATCCCTCCAACGTCTTCTTCGGCTCCGCTCGAACGTCGATTGATGCTTTCTCCCGATCCAATATAATCCATTCATCTCTTATCAGCTCGCTCCTTGGTGAACACTGGTCTAGGTTTTCTATTTCCTCCTCGCCTCCTCAGTTTCTTTGCTCTGTTCAGAGTTTGAGAATTCTAGTAAGATTCGCACGACGCAGTCGGATTTTTGGTCTTTTGAGCTGTTTGCCCTTCAAAGCTTCGAACTTTTCCGTTGATATTTGAACTTTTTGGTTGTAAGTGGAGATCAAACAAGTTTCGAGGTTTTGCGATCTGTAGGGATGATTAAGATTGTTTCTTTTTTTAATTGATTGATTTTCTTAGTTGTTTCTGATTTTTTTTTCTTTGGGTGTGAAAAATCAGGGTTTCCTTGGCTTAGGAGGCGAGAACGAAAATTTCTGTGTTATGTATTTTTTTTGGAGAAGCAGTATGCGGTGGCTGAGCCTTTCTGTTGACGTCTATCGTAAAGTGTTTTCCTTGAACTTGTACTGCCGGGTTATTCTGTAACTAGACTGCTTTTCATGGCTTTCTTCTCCTGTTCAAATCTTTCCTGTTCTGCTCCCGATCTATGGGAACGAGGCTTCTTGCTGAGGCGTTCCCAACTTGTTAAAAAGGCAGCTTTGCTTTCTTAGTAGAAACACTTTCCTTTGCAACCACTTTAGATCTGCCGCACTTCCCTGCTTTTCTGCTTCTTCTTCTTCTTCGATCTTGGCGACGACATCAATGGGGAGGTGTTTAGCGAGGACTTCAGGGGTTAGGCCGGATTTTGATACAAGATGGGAGCAGGTGCTCCATAGCTGATGGAGTTCTTGCTTACGAGAAGCAAGAAGAACTCTCATTACATCGTCGATTGATGCTTTCTCCACCATGCTTTCAAGTTGCTTCTGCATTTTCAATTCAATGTAGATATATATTTTTGTTACTGTCGATTAATTAATATGCAAATGTTGTATATAAATGAAGAATACAGTCAACTCAAAAAATTGAATGAGACAAAGAAATATGGAGAAAGATAGACAAAATCAGAAAGTAGATGAGAATCTCTATCACAATCATTCAAGGGAAAACAATCTTAGGTTTTGTTTGGGACGGCTTTCTTACTATTTCATAGCTTTTTAGTACAAATTTTTTAATTTTTGTACTAAAAAGCTGCTTTAACAAGCAACAAAAAAGCCGTCCCAAACGAAACCTTAATCTTATGGATTTTAAATATATTGCTTTTATAAATATATTATAAATTATTATAAATATAATAATAATTATTATAAATATATTGCTTTTATAAAAAATACTTATTTTAATGTTAAAATAAGTTATTACAAAAAAATGATTTTACTTTACTCTGCATATACCTAACCAAACAAGGGAAACAATTCTCCTGCGTTTATTTTGCATATGACCAAACAAGCTCAAAGTATTTAGAATACATTACATTTACTTTACATTGCATTTACTTTACACTGCATTTCTTTTTCAGGCAACCAAACAGCCCCTT